ATCATGAAAATGGAGGAGGTATTAACTGAAATTTGAAAATTCGAAATTTTTGAAAAAGTATCAGGGGAACGTGAAAAGTGAGGAAGTACTCACTGAAATTTGAAAATTCAAAATTTCAATTTCAGTGAATACCTACTCAATTTTCATGCTCCCCCGATACTTTTTCAAAAATTTCGAATTTTCAAATTTCTATGAATACCGATTTCGTAAAGCAGAAAATAACATTCACCCCGTCGACTGATCCCTCTGATAGCGGGACTGTTTCTTCTTCTTCTTTTTCGATTTTTTTGGCTCTGACAGTATGTCTTGCGGCCGTTGTCCCAGTGGTGGGCCATTGCTGGGTTGTGGTAGGAGTGGGGGATATGTGGTGAGAGGGAGTTTTCAACAGCTGGACTGCTACTGCGGCAGTGACCGAGTCTGCTGACGGATAGACACCCCCACCATTGCGTGTGGCGCCCTCCCTCTCTTGGGGTGCAGTACTACGATGCCGCAGGCGTAGCTGAAACCCCCAGAACTGAGCCTCTACCTTAGTCAATCCTCTTTGGATGTGACGATGAGGAAAATCCCTGGAATTTTATTCACCGGCTGTCGGTAATATTTTGAATTTTCCTACATAAATAACATTTTAGGGTATCATATAGTTGGCTAGACATAATTCAATTTTTTTCTAATGAAGGCAACTAATACTATTCATGAACTTATCACTTAGATACTAATGGGTTTTTCACGATTAATTCCTTTTTATAAGACCTATAATTAATAGATGATATTACCAATTATTACTGGAGTAACCGATCGAACATTGATACTGAGTTCTGACATTAATTATTTGAGACCGCATGTACTATTCGTCAAATGTAATGGTTGATTTGAATTTTATCTTCTTAGTTTGAAATATTTATAAATTTGGGTGTCAAGATGTACTGCGGAAAGCATTCCAATGATTATAAATTATAAAGTTTATAAAAAAATAATAAAAATACACAGTTCACCAGCCACTGTGACGGGAGAAAAGAATACATTCAAAAATTAATAAAAATTAATAACAATGTAAAATAAAAATGGACTGTCACAAATTACCGATCATGAACTGCGTATTTTTCATGACTTTTTTTTGTAAACTTTAGTATTAATATCTCGATCTACCACCCTTCGATAACTTTTTTTATTTCTTATCATTTTTTTCTTATAACAATTCAAGTCGTTTTCGCAACATTATTTCAAATGAAGATTAGGGTGGATAGAGAGTACATGCAGCCCTTTATGAATTATTCCCAATATGAATTGTTTAAAACCTAATGGATCTGAGAATGAGTATGAATTATTGTTACTCCCTTGCGAACTGTATCCCCATTTCAATTATTACACACTATTGACTAGCTCCGGCTAAAAGAGAAATTAGATTCATCTCAAATTTATATTTATCCATATGCAATCACCCCTTCCCCATTTTCAATGAACGAAAAACCCCTTCAACTCTGAATGATAATATTAATAATAATAAAAGAATCCAAAGTATTCCTTAAAAAATTCCTTTTTATTGATCGCCTACTTATACATGACTTGACCCAAAAAAATATCCTAGAAAACAAACATAGACATCTTCGGGATTGTTTTAAAAAAGTACATAGGAACGACACAACGAAAACACCAGTTCCTCATCATTCTCTAGAAAAAAGACAATCTAAACAAAGAAGAAAAAAAATTCCCCAATTATATCCCAAATTTGGTAGACGTTGGACGTTAAATTTAAACGTTTACATATGTACAAGTGCCGCTGACAAAATTGATTTATGTATATCGGCCTCCCCAACCAAACGACTCCACGTTATTCAAATATATTTCTACCAGAAAAAAAAATTAGGAATAACTCCCAATAAAATGTTTTCATAAATTAACACTTGTTGAAGGCATTGCGAGGACTCATACACGTTGTCTAATGCCATTATTGAGCATCGTTGAGCCTATACTATGTCATTTTCACTGAAAACAGTAAAAAATTATATCTACCTATGTACAATATTTATTTTCCACAATATTTCATCATCATTATAAAGATCATCAATCGTCCCACCCCCCGATCGCTTTGTGCATTGAAGAAAATGTGTATAACGTGGCAAGTAAAATGAGGAAGTAATAAGGAAGTCTCTGGCGATGTTCTCAATTCGAGACTGATAATAATCCTCCACTTCGTCGATAAAAACAATAACATTGGAGTGTTGATCAGATGAAACAAGACCTAAGATAATTTGTTTGAAGAGTATCTCTCGAGGGCATTTTGTTCGAAAAAGAGTTGTTCGTAAAAGAGATATTTGATCAAATGATCTTGAGATAAAATGATGATTATTATTACAACAATGAAATAAGGTCACTCTGCTGAGCTGTATGGTTTACGAAGATGCAATTCGCTGGCAGCAATGCTCTCACCCTTGACGTAGTAATCAGCGGCATCTCGCCTCTTAATCTCAGTGCCATTTTGTTTACTATTTGGCAGACCATTTGCCATGCATGCACCAGTTGCTGCAGTAACGGCAGCCATAGCAGCACTTTTTGCCCTACTCTTTGAATTTTTACTGTGTGCATACGATTCTTTGTAAAACTCGTTGAACAGGAAGAAGAACATGACAGCGTGAAGGCCAATCCACCATACGAAGGCTTTTGGATAATTGCACTCAATGAAGAGAAGTTGGAATGCATGAATCATTATTGCTACGAATTGAATCATCTGGAGGGCAGTTAGATATTTCTTCCACCAGAGATACGGCTGCATCTGGGGCCCGAGAGCAGCTAGGAGATAGTATCCGTACATTATTATGTGGACGAAGGTGTTCAATAGACCGAAGAATGTTGAATGACCACCTGTAAGTGTTTTTTTTTTTCACGGTTATTAAATTGCTGGAAAGTGATTGTTGGAATTTTTGTTGCTTACCTGGAGTGAATTTCACACCGAACCAAACGGACATTGGCATGCATCCATGATGAATCACGTGGAGGGTCGACACGTGGTTATTCTTTTTTCTAAGTACAAAGAATATCTGGAAAATGGAATGCACACGGTGAAATAATAAATCGATGTCGTTACATTGGTGGATATTTATGAAAATTGATGGCACAGTGGCATGTGAATTTTTCATGATGCGAGGTTGAATTCTATTTCCATTGAAAATCGTCAGTGCATTTTTTAATCATCTTCATGAATTCAACAGGATTGACGTTTTTATGTTGGACGCTTTCTGAATTTGTAATGAAAAAACCTGATTTTACAAATTTATTGGGAAAATTAAATATTAAATAGAATTCAGGTATGAGTACATTGAAAATTTAAGAAGTTAATTGATTCTCACTGAAGAGTTCTGCGAAATTTTTGTCACTCTTTTGTTATCAAACATTTCGAATTTCCTCGTTTTAATATTCAGGCATAATTTATAATTGTTCAAATCTGTGGAGTAATCAACAATAACGTGACGATTCAGGTGTTAAGTTTTCAATGAATATCTCTGAAGTTAATGAACCTAACAAAATTGATGTAATTACCTTTTTTGTAGCTCTCATTGCTCTCTACAAAAAAGATTTTGACAAACTTTTGCTATCTCTCTTGTATTCCGAGATAATCCTTGAAAACTCGGGGCTTGATAACCAGGGGCTTGTTACTCTTCACCTGAATGATTCAAAAAATGATTT